TCATTGTTGTTTGGCGGGTCCGGGCTGGGGATTCGAACCCGCCACCTTAGGTGTACGTGGCTGGCGCCTTAGCCGGTTGAGCTATAGGTGCCGAGCCGCCATTGGCACTTCTATGTACTCTATACATACTCCAATATACTCTATGTATTCTAATTTCCATCTTGTTCCAATGAATTGCCCCTGCTTCTATTTAAAGGCAACTGTCAGTCCTCCATTTCTGTCCCCACCCTCACCCTAACATTCCAGTTTTACACTAAACATTCTAGTTTACACCAGAGACTATTCCTTCTTGCCTACCTAAGGAATGTTTTTCCTACAGTGTCCCCTATCTCCTGTATTATCCTTTTTTTCTCTCTATTGGATCATTTGCATCAGCATATAAACACGCTGTAATATCTTCCATCTTTCTTTTTTCCTTTTTTTTTTTTTTTTGAGACAAAGTCTCAAGCTGTTGCCCTGGATAGAATGCTGTTGGCATCATAGCTCAGTAACCTCCAACTCAGGCTAAAATGACCCTCTTGCCTCAGTTTTTCTATTTTTTAGTAGAGATAGGGTCTTGCTTTTGCTTAGGTCGGTCTTGAACTTGTGAGCTCATGCAATCCACCCACCTCGGCCTCCCAGAGTGCTAGGATTACAGGTGTGAGTCATCACACCTGGCTTTTTTTTTTTTTTTTTTGAGACACAGGACTAGTTCTCCTTATATTATCCAGATTGGGCTCAAATTCCTTGGGCTGCAGTGATCCTCCCAACTCAGCCTCACTACCTGAGATTACCGATGCAGCCACCCTGGTTCTAGCATCTTAAAAGGCAAAAAGCAAAACAAACTTCCTTAGACTCCATCGCCTTCTACTCCCTTGCTCCTAACTGCTGCAAGATGTTCTATTATGTGGATCCCTCTGTTTTATTTGTTCATAACCCTAATGACGAACCTTTTGATTGCCTCCAACTTCCTGCTGCCACAAGCAATGTTGCAATTGCTATCCTTATACACATCTTCTTTGGGTCTATGAAAATTTCTTGTGCATAATGAGCTCCATACTTCCTGGAATGAATGCACCAGTCTACTCTCACCAACACTGGTGAGTTTTCAATATCCCAACTTCTTTGACAATACTTAACATTATTTGATTTTCCAGTTTTTTAAATTATATCTCATTGCTAATTTATTTTTTTCAATTAAAAAAAATTTAAATTGACAATTATACATATTTATGGGGGAGAGTGGATTTTAAATGTTCTCACCACAAAGATAGGCTAATTAGTCTGATTTGTCCATTCTACAATGCATACATACGTTGAAACTATGTATGTAACACACCTGGCTCAGCATCTGTGGCTCAAGTGGCTAAGGCGCCAGCCACATACACCTAAGGTGGCGGGTTCGAATCCAGCCTGGG